TTTTGTATTTTTTTAGTAGAGATGGGGTTTCAGTGTGACAGCCAGGATGGTCTCAATTCCCTGACCTCGTGATCTGCCCGCCTCGGCCTCCCAAAGTGTTGGGATTACAGGCTTAAGCCACCATGCCTGGCCTTTCTTTTTGTATTTTTAGTAGAGATGGGGTTTTGCCATGTTGGCCAGGCCGGTCTCAAACTACTGACCTCAAGTGATCCACCCAGCTTGGCCTCCAAAAGTACTAGGATTACAGGCGTGAGCCACCACGTCCGGCATAGTTATTGCTATTTCCTATTTGATTTTTTATATCTCCCATTTCTTTGCTGAGACTTTCTTTACATTTGTTTCAAAAGCATTCTCCCTTTCTTCTTCCTGCCTGGTTAGACTGCTTGCAGCATTTGCTTAAATTCCAACATCTGTGTCTCTTTGGGGTTGGTTGTCTTTTCTCTGGAGAGTTCTTGGTATGCTGACTCATCTTATACTCTGGATATTTTGAACATTATGTTTTGAGGCTCTGGGTCTTGTTAAAATCTTAAGGCGAATGTTGAACATGTTGAATGCTAACTTTGTTTTAGCAGGTAATCAGGTTCAGGCAGCAAGTTTTGACCTGCCTTTTTGGCATTGTGGTTCCAATGTGTTTTATTTTAAAAGTGTTTGCAGCTGGGCGCGGTGGCTCAAGCCTGTAATCCCAGCACTTTGGGAGGCCGAGGCGGGTGGATCACAAGGTCAAGAGATCAAGACCATCCTGGTCAACATGGTGAAACCCCGTCTCTACTAAAACTACAAAAAATTAGCTGGGCATGGTGGCGCGTGCCTGTAGTCCCAGCTACTCAGGAGGCTGAGGCAGGAGAATTGCCTGAACCCAGGAGGCGGAGGTTGCGGTGAGCCGAGATCGCGCCATTGCACTCCAGCCTGGGTAACAAGAGCGAAACTCCATCTCAAAAAAAAAAAAAAAAAAAGTGTTTGCAGTGCTATCTGCGTCAGTCTGGCTCGGGTGCCACCCAGTGGCCAGTCAGGCCCAGACAGTGATCCATTCTGTAACTCAGTTCACAAAGCCTTAGGTGGGCTGTTTAGGGACAGATCTATGTTTGCAAAGCTGAGAGTTGAGCCTAGGAGTTCACACATTTTTATGTAATTGTTCTCTTGATTTTCCTCCTGTGAGCTCTCTGACACTTTCTGGGCCCCTGGGGCTTCCGTCCCCATTCCCATATGACCATGACACTGTACTCTAGCCTGGGTGACAGACCAAGACATGGTCTCAGAAGCAAAATGAAACAAAAAACAAGATATATTTGCCAATTTATTGATAAATGGACAGTAAGTATAGGACGGTGTATCTTTCCCCATCCCCCAAATTACACAATTCCTATTAAAGGACAGGCAGTGGGTCACAGAATGAAGCCTTTCTGCCTGCAGGCCTTTAGCCCACTACTCTTCCCATCCAAGAGGCTCACCCTCTCTTTTATCAGGCTAAGTCCTACCTGGGCTTCTAGTTTTAAAAGTCATGTCCTTGGAGGCTTTTCTGACCTCAGGCAAGATGTAGATCCCAGTTAAATGCTTTTATATCACCCAATACTTCTTATCACACTTCTAATATATAACCATGTACTTAAGAACCTCAAAGGACAGGACAAGTCTCCCTTGCTCTCTTGCCCTGTACTCAGAAGTTTCGCTTTTGCTCTTCTCTCTCAGATGGTGACCCTGGGCCCCGTTACATATCTTCCAAGGGCCTGCAATAGCCTTTTCAGAGCCTTGCAGAGCTGAATCAAGGAGGGTGATGAGGGCACATTTCCTGCTGACACCCTGGAGATTCTAACTCAATAGAAAAGGGCGGGAGTGGGGTCCAGGAATGCACACTTTCAGAAGCTCCCCTGATGATTTTGATGCGAGTGGCTCAGAAAAACTACCTGTGGTAGGCAACTTCTAACATGGTTCCCAATGACTCCTGCCTCTGAGTCACACCCTGTATAATCTTCACCCGTTGAGACTGGACCTGGTAACTGGTAAAAGTGATGTGCTGTCACTTCCATGATTAACAAAAGACTGTGATTTCACCTTGCTGGTGTCGTCTTTCTGGCTCTTGCTGTGATGTAGAAGGCTACCTGGGTGGCCTCTGGCCAACAGTCACTCAGAAAATGAGGTCCTCAGTCCAACCACCTGTGAAGCAGTGAATCCTGCTGACAACCACTGAGTGAGCTGGGAAGCAAATCCTTCCCACTTGACCCTGAGAGGACTATGCGCCTAGCTAACACCTTGACTCCAGTCTTGTGAGAAACCTAAGCAGAAAACTAAGCTCAGCTATGCCCAGATTCCTTACCCACAGAAACTGGGATCGTAAGTATGTGTTGTTTTAAGGCATGGTTTTAGGGTAATTTATTACATAGCAATAGATAACTATTGTGACCAGCCCTACAACCATCCAAGATTGCTATCTAGTAAGGATCAGCACGTGTGTGAGTACCAAGTGGATGATTCTTGGTTAGGAAGAATCTTGGTGCCCTGGGCTGTTACACATGGAATCCCTAAATCTTGAACCAAATATCCCGGCCAAAAACAGATCCTCATCACCTCCCAAATAATCTACTGTCCTTTCCCCACGCCTTCACTGCCAAGAGACTTCTCTCTGTATATCAAAGGCAAATGGCATTTGTCTTTGTCCCATAACCTTGGGATGTGAATGGTTTCCCCTCCCTCTTTGGGTGAAGTCAGGCAGTACCAGCCTAGCCCACACTGGACTTTAGAGCCATTCTTTTTTTTTTTTTTTTTT